ACACATATGCTTGCTGTCTTTTGCTGTGTAGGAATATCTAGTCAAAACCACAGGGGATACTGATTGCTCTCTAGATGTGTTATATTTCTCCGTAAAAGTTGTAGTGTTATTCAAAATATTGGTGTTGATTGTGTTATTAATATTGTTGATGAGTGATGACAAGACGAATTATAAATATTGGGGCAAATTAATTGTTCTTTGCGGGACTCTGCTAAATGGTTGGCTTCTTTCCCTATGCAACTGACATGGTTGAGGTTTTTGTTTTTTTCAGTCTTTTAGATGAGAGAATTACAAATTAAACACCCTTCATCCACGAAGTTTGTGAATTGGGCTGAGCCTCAAATGTTAAAATATTTTTGCATCGGCCAAATTTCACTGAAGATGTCACCTCTAAAATTATATTTAGTGGGACGGCAAGAACTCCTGTTTGGGAGTAGCTTGCTGAAGCATAAAATGGCTGATTCTGTTGTAGTTGATAGAGTCCTCACATTTTTTCATGCCTTCAGGGTTTGGCTCTTCACGAAATTCTAGCTGAGACTGAGAAGCGAGGGATATCTTTTGATCAATTACTTACCATTCCAGAACAAGATGAATGGATATATAGTGATGGCAAATCAACAACCTGTGTTGCCTTTATTCTCTCAATGTATAAAGAGGCTGGAATATTTGGACCTGTTTCCAGCTCCATTCAAGTAACTGAGTTCACTGTAAGTCTTGATAGCCCTCGGTTACCTTACCTACTTAGTTTTGTGACTCTGGATGAAAGATGGCTAGTTACAATCAGTTGGTCATGCATATTTGTTATTATTTACAGATCCGTGATGCGTATATGCTCAAGATTTTTGAGGATAACCAAACACGACTACCAAGATGGTGCAACAGTGAGAGTGACAAGCTTCCATTCTGCCAGATTCTTGGTGAATATAGAATGGAGCTGCCTGGCTACAACACTTTGGAGCCGTACAGCAATATGAACGAATACTGCCCTTCCCTTCCCCCAACTTATGACAGGCCCTCACGGTGTTAAATCCGTTCTGATAGCCATCACTAAATATATAGCTATCATATTATTTAAATTGCTTGTCTTTTATATAAGCAATAACTGGGGAGTTGGTCGGGACGCGTAATGCTGTTCTTAGGTTAGTTATAGTGTTGGGCTTGGGAAAAATACCTACGTGTCATATTTCTATTTGATAACTTGGTAAAATTAACTCGAGTTGGCCCATGCTGGTATGGCGTTGTCTACAAATGACATGCCGGTGTCTTGAGATTCTACAGAGTTGACAGAAATGTTGTATATGAGCTGCTTTGGCTGTAAAGGATTTCAAATTGATTAAATGATCCCAAAGGCCGAATCCAGCTCCATATGACCGAATTGACTAGTTTATTTAAAGAAGCCCATTTATATTGTAAAACGGTTTTCATATATTTTCAAGCTTCTGATCTTGCATCTGACTTGACTTGCTAACAAGTAGAGTTCATGTCTTAACAAGTTTGACCGCTGCACGTTTAGGTTTGTTGACGAGTGGTATCTGCAAATTTCGAGATGACAAGGTCATTTAATAAAATAACAAGTTCATTTGATATTATAAATGAGTGTCATGTGCATTTATTTTTAACAATTGTAAATTTTGCAAGTTTATAGATATAATATTTTATATTGGAGATTGAATTTAATTCTAAATATAAAATTTCAATATATTTTGTCATTTAAATTTATAATTTTTTTTCTCAAAATATATCTATTAATTATAAAAGGCTGTCACTAAGAGTTGGTTTTAATGTACTACTCTTCTAGTTTTTATAAAGTCTATTTAACAAATTTAGTTAGATTAAAAAAGTTAGGTAAGTTAGTTAATTATAAGAGATATGATATGTTTTTCTTAAAATACTATAATCATCTTTCTTAATATCCTCATTCTCTTTTTTATTTGATTATGGTTTAGAGAGTATCCATAGTGATAATTTAAAAAAAATTGATAAATATGATAAATAGGTCTTATATTTAGGATCAAAATTAACTCAACAATTAAGTCTTATATTAAGAACTGAAGGAGTATATAATTAAATATGGTATTTTAGGAAAGTCAATACATAATTGTTATAAATAGTTAACTTAAATAAGTTTTTTAATTTCCTCAATTTATTTATCTAACTTTTATATTAATAGTAAAAAACAGTATTATTTAACTAAGAGTTATTGGCAGCTCGATGACAAAGGTGATTTTGACGAATGCAAGACCCCAAGTCAAGGCTCCCTTGAAAAATTTCTAACCTCTGTGGGGGTATTTTAAAAAAATAATAATAAAGAGTATTTTAATAATTGAAAATTTCCAAAGAGTCTCCTAATCCTAGAGGGTCATCTCAGATTCTTTTTATTTTTTGGTGAAAAGTAATTTCAGATTCTATTGGAACTTCTTTGCTATAAAATTGCTTCTATCGTATTTTAATGTGAGAATTTAATTCTATTTTTCTTATCAGTGCAAGACTTCAGCAGCAATATTAGTAATCACTTAACCTACCAAGAAAAACTAATATATCATTTACATTATATTATCATTTAATTTTTATTGAGTTATTAGTGAAGTCAAAGGCAAAAAACGTACGTATCAGGTTAATAAGATTAATTCTACATTTCTGACGAATTCTGATCTAAACACTCTGAAATATTTGTTATGTAACATCAAATAATCAATGCATCATTGCGTCAGCAAAGACTGCTTCTGGGCGACGGAATAATAATAATAATAAACCATCATCAGAAAAGTTAAGACTATTTTTAATCACTTAAATTATATGTCAAACGAACTAATGGTATAAATATACCAAGGCTGTTCCATTTCTTCCTCGGAAGCTTCTTTGGAAAAGGACTCGCAAGATTTTTATAATAAACTTAAAATGATTACTTTTTTAAAGTTGTCAAGCCTCCGTGTTTGACCCTTCTTCCAACTGCCATCGAACATTCTGATCAAGATTTCTCAGTATAAACGTCAGGCATGATGCTTAGCATCAATACAAATGATACATAATTTAATTATTGTTTGTTTATGCTTCTAAATGTGTTTTGATATATATTTTTTTCTCGTTTTAAACATAGGAGCTAAGTAATTAATTTATAGATATTACAAACATTAATAAATTTTTTGTTCTGAGTAAGTGTTGTGCTGGGCTGTGTTGTTAGGTTTTATGAAGTGTTTTTTCTTTTATGGTTTCCTTGTGATTTTAATATTTTTTGTGATTAATAAAATGGATTTATGTTTTTCAAAAAGTTAATTAAATTAGTTAATTATAATAAATTTGTGTTAGTTTCTTTGAAATATTCACTTTAATCATTATCATAATTAATAAAAACACCCTTTGAGACATAAAAAAAAAAAAGAAGCACACTTTGATATATGCAATTAATATGAAAAACTTGAGAAAAACTTATAATTTTAAAAAGTAATGTGAATTAACTTTTTGTATTTAGAATTAAAAGAAACCCTTAATTAACTTTTACATTTAGAATTAGAAAATGTAATTTTTTTTGGAGTCAATATGTTAATTGATGTAGCTCGAGCTGTGAAATACTAATGTGAACACTTCATTTTGAAACCAACACGTCTCTTTAGATGGGTTTCTGTCATGGTTTGATTATGTAAGTATGTAACTCGTAGGTAACAGGGCAGCGTCATATCACTCGATTTTAATTAGTGTTTCAATAATGAATATAAATGAAATTATTTTTAAAGAAATTCGTAAATAACCACCACTTTATTTGGTTCAATTTCTGTTGATTTATCTTGTTCTCAATGACAAACCATACCCAGCCTCGTCAGCCATGAAATTTTAAAAATAACAATGTCTATTTAAACAACCTTTGTTTTTTTTTATAATAATCTTTTTTGGTTCCCCGGAAGATATGAAAACTGACTAAGCGAAGACATAGAAAATATGAAGAAGTTTGATTTTGCAAGGCATTGAAAATACGGCTTCCTCTCATGTGATTTAAAGGGTATTTAGATAAGATCAAAATCATAGTTTCAGAAATGCTTTTAGAGTATACGAAGTAAATATGTAAAGGAATTTGTCTCGATTTACAGAAAAGTACTTCTGAAAAGTGATTATTGAGGTATCCAAAGAAGTGTTTAGATATATCTAAAAGTACTCTTAAAAGTGTTTTCATGCAAATTGACATAAAATTCTTATTATATATTTATTTTGTATACAGTAAAATGATAATTTAATTTTTACTCAAATATTCCTTTAAACATACATAATTGATATTTGACATCATATATACTTAATAATTAGAGTATACGAAACAAAACTACCTGTTGGCAAAATAAAAATTGATACACACGTATACGCTGGTAAAAAAACACACTCAACATTTTTTTTAGTAAGTCAACATTTGTTACTTGTCAACGTCAGAAACCTCTAAGCTTCTTCCACGTGTCCTACTTCCCCAATTGTTGAGCCTACCTTTTTTTTCTTTCTTTCTTTCTTTTTTATTGAGGACCATCTGGTTCAACTACTATGCTTCCTCATTATTTTATTTTATTTTATTTTTGTTTACTTAAAGATGCTTCCTCTTCTAAAAATGTAACCTTTTTTAGGCCAACGGAAAGCTTAACCTTTCTATCACAAACATAAAAGGTAACACGAGCCTACGACGAAGGCGGTTCCGTTCCAAGCTGCGTGGACAGAACAAGATATCCATATATAAAAGTCAAACAATGTGTTCCCCGTTTCTTAATTAAAACTCCAGCCTCCACGCAGTCACAAATTTTGAACAAATCACAACAACACACACAATTTACACAAAAACATCATTTATTTATTTATTTATTTTTGACACTTTTTACTTCAAGAATTAAGCCGCATATTAAGAATTGAATAATAAGTTCATACACAATAAATCATTTTCCTTCACAGAAATAAAAATGAGAAATCTGGCTTCACAAAATATATTAGAGAATTGAACATAGTTTTCACCCCAAAAAAAAAAACAATTTTTTTACCTTGTAATCCCGCGTATGGTCGTGAAGCAGAATAATTCCATAGAAAACGACAACGTTTGCAGAGATTGCGCGTCCTCCTTGTACTCGCCGAGAACTGGCTCTAATGAAACCAATCGTACACGCGAACTTTTCAACGTCCGCCTCCCCATCAAAATAATTTTCTTTCGACCCAGATTTCTGTAGGCTTAAATTTGCCGTCTTCTCCGTTTCAATTCTCTGCCCTTTATATTCTCTCCTTCCCCATTTTCCTTCTTCATTTTCTCCCTGACCAATCACTTTCTTCCTGCCTGAGCTTCTGTTGAAAATGAGACTCCGTCTCTTTTTCGCTATTTTTCTGTCTCTCTCTGTCTCCTTCACGCCAATTTCAGCTCGATTGTTCCCTAATGTATCATCTATACCTCCTTGGCTTACCAAAAACGTGCCTCCTGGCGTTTGGGACGCCTTCCGGAACTTCACGGGCTGCCGTCCGGGAAGTAGCTACGATGGATTGGGTAAACTCAAGAACTACTTCCACCACTTTGGATACATCCCCAACACCCCTTTGAACTTCACCGACGACTTCGATGACGCCCTTGAAGCCGCTATTAAAACTTACCAGAAGAACTTCAATCTCAACGTCACAGGCGAGCTCGATGCGGATACCCTTCAGCAGATTGTTCGCCCTCGATGCGGCGTCGCTGATATAATCAACGGCACCAGCACCATGAACTCCGGCAAGGAGAATACCTCCGCCGCCAGTAAAGACTTGCACTTCCACACTGTCTCTCACTACACTTTCTTCCCCGGCACTCCGCGGTGGCCCCCCGGGACCCAAACTCTGACCTACGCGTTCTTGCCGGGCAACGGTCTCGCAGACGACGTCAAGAACGTGTTTGCCACCGCCTTTGATCGATGGTCGGAGGTAACGACGTTGAGTTTCACGGAAGCGTCGTCGTACGAAATGGCGGACATCAGGATAGCATTCTACACAGGAGACCACGGAGACGGAGAGCCATTCGACGGACCTTTGGGGACGCTGGCCCACGCGTTTTCGCCAACGAACGGAAGATTCCATCTGGACGGGGCGGAGAACTGGGTGGTATCCGGCGATGTGTCGCAATCGACGCTTTCAACCGCGGTGGATCTGGAATCGGTGGCGGTACACGAGATCGGGCACTTATTAGGGTTGGGACACTCATCTGTGGAGGAGGCGATCATGTACCCGACGATATCGTCGAGGACGAGGAAGGTGACTCTGGCGGACGATGATATTCAGGGGATTCAACAGCTTTACGGGTCAAATCCCGATTACAATGGCTCCACGACGGTGATGACGGCTCGTGAGAACGACTCCAGCCACGGAGGCCGGCGACTCAGTGTGGTGGAATCAACGCGGGGGCTACTCCTTCTGGTGGCCGTTGGATTAGCCCATTTGATTTTGTAGTTTGTATTTTTTTTTTTGGTTGTAGACATTTATTTTTAAATTTTTTATTGTGATTATAGAATATCTTATTCTTGTACCTATATAGCTACTTACTGGTACAGCCGTTGCAGCTTGCAGTACATCATAGGGTGCTATATAATGAGAGTTACATCTTATTCTCCGTTTGTTTTAATACAGTACAGGATTGAATTTCAGCTTATTAATTTGATGTCCACATGGTTTTATTTAACTAATCTTGTTTTTGAAAATTCTACATCTGAACTTCTAATTCATTTTTGGCAAGGGTTTTAGTTAAATAATCAATGACAAGGGCAAAATTTATGGTAAGTTTTGCATTCTTCAAATTTTATATATGATGTACGTAATACGGATGTGTGTGGGCCAGGTTATCTCAAATAAGCTCTGGTCAAAAAAAGAGGTTGTCTCAAATAAGCCGAAACTTCCTCGGAAATGCGGTGACCAAATTTGTTTATGGACCGACCCACTTGATCCAATGAGCTTGCGGAGTTGATTGAACTGCTGGGCTAAACGTTCACCCATAATTAGAAATATCTCATGTTTTGTATAAAAAAAAATAAAAAAAAAAGTAAAAAATTCGCGTTTGAAAATTTAATTAAATACAACAAACAAACAACAAGCCTTATCCCACTAGGTGGGGTCGGCTACATGAATCACACGATGCCATCGTGCTCTGTCAACAACCAAATCCTTATATATGTCGTTGATTAGGAGGTCTCGTTCAATGACCTCATTCAGTGTTCTTCTCGGTCTTCCCTTGCCTCTTTTTATGGGACTCCATCTTGTTTGATCCACCCCCCTCACCGGGGCCTCCAAGGGCCTTCTCTGCACATGTCCAAACCATCTTAAGCGATTTTCAACCATTTTCTCTTGGATAGGTGCCACACCGACTCTTGTCCTGATCTTTTCATTTCGAATCCTATCTTTTCTTGTATGACCACACATCCATCTCAACATCCTCATTTCTGCTACTCTGACTTTGTGCTCTTGTTTTCCCTTTATTGCCCAACATTCACTACCATACATCATAACTGGTCTTATAGCAGTCCGATAAAATTTTCCTTTAAGTTTCTCAGGTACCTTCTTATCGCAAATAACTCTGGTAGCTTTCCTTCACTTTAACCAGCCAGCTTGTATTCTATGAGAAATGTCTCCATCAATTTCCCCATCCTCCTGTATAATGGATCCTAGGTATTTAAACTTTGATACTTGAGGAATAATTTGCTTTCCCATCCTCACCTCCAAATCCCTATTACCTTGCCTCCCTCCAAAATCACAATGCATATATTCTGTTTTGTTCCTGCTCAAACGGAAACCTTTCGACTCCAAAGTCCTTCTCCATAACTCCAAACTAGTGTTAATCTCTTCTTTTGATTCCGCCATAAGAACTATATCATCCGCAAAGAGCATAGACTTAGGGATTCTTTCTTGAACAGTTTCAGTTAGAACATCCAAAACAATATTGAACAAGTACGGGATCAGAGAGGATCCCTGATGTAGGCCAATCTTAATAGGGAAGTCCTTTGTCTCTCCCCCAGGCGTCCTTACGCTGGTAGTTGCCGTCTCATACATATCTTGTATTTAAATTTGAGTGAGTGTAATTATGATCTGTGAGTGTAATATATTTTCAGTTGTGTGCAACATATCATCAATGATGTGCAACAATTATTAATATGAAAGTTATTTGCACGAGATATGTTTACTTATAGATCATCATTGTACTCACTTAAATTCAGGTCTTTTTAGCCAATTAAATTTTTAAACATGAATTTTTTTTGGAAAAATTTCAGAAAAAGCCCTTGAAATATAAGAAATTCTAGATTGAGTCCTGAAATTTGGTAAATAACAGAATGGGCTTTTTTTGGGATTTTCTCATGTTTTTTTTTAACCAATTTTCCCAAACAGAAAAGTCTCATGTAATAACTTCTCGGGTCCTATCATGGGCAAAATGTCATAAAATGATACGCAAGGTAAAGTACATGATACGTAAGTGAGATTTGTTAGTAATTGAATTTCTTACGCAAGACTTCCTTGTGATTTTCCCAAATTTTAATTACACCTCAAAACAAGACTAACCCCTCCCGCCACAAGAGCCAAGTGGAATAACCAAATTAATTATGGGGGAAAATAATAAATTTTGGAATCTTTTGTGTGTTTCTCGACAATTCCAAAGGGTTATTAAGAAAAATATTTGCCATCTTTACAATTTCTAGTTTAAAGCGTGATTCAATCCCATTGAACTGGCCCCGTTCTCTCCTATAAATTTGGATGAGTGGATATATAATGGACTTTTGATTCTGCAAATAATGCAATAGACGCATAAACCTTCTTTTGACCTTAAAAAGATTTTTAAAAAAGATCAGAGAGAAATACCCCTCTGATCCTTAATGTAAAACCTAATTATTGAGTTGATTTTAGTTTTAAATATGAGATCTATTTCTTATATTTATCAATTTTTCTTAAATTACCTCTATTAATACTCCATCGACTATAATCAACTAGGAGGGGGATAGAGAATACTCCCTCCGTTCCTTATTATAAGAGACATTTGATGTTATGGCATGTTCCTATATATAAGAGACACTTACAAGTTGTCTCTACTTTTTGTGTTGATTTACTATTTTACCCATATTTATTATCTCCAACTCACACTCTCTCTCCCTCTCACCTCTCTTTCTTTTAATAATTTAATTGTTCTCTCTCATGCTCTCTCTCCTTATTAATGAGGGCATTTTTGGAAAAAAAATTATACTTTTTACACATTAATTGTTCTTAACTAATTTTAACTGTTTTTTTGATCAACGTACTTCGGTTATTTGTCTCTTATAATAAGGAACGGAGGGAGTATTAAGAAAGATGATTATGGTATTTAAAGAAAAATGTTTTATGTTTCTTATAATTAACTAACTTTCTTAATTTTTTAATTTAATCAAATTAATCAAATAGATATTACATAAATATACACACACGTATGCATATATGGTGGACCAGTGAATTCCTTCCTAGGACGAACCACGAGCAATGTAGTTGTGTTAAGGAAGCAACGACAAGTGGTGATGAAGTTGTTCATATGAAAATGGAAATCCAACAGGTACGTATGGGCTCAAGCTGATAACGTGGGTTGGTCGGTAGTACTAGGAACCCACTTTGGGGCCCAAATCTAAATGTCTGAAACGTGGCCCAGAAAATACCACAGAATGGCTGTGGTCGATGTGTTTCCAAGTCACCTTCATTCCACAAAATTCAAGTGTTGGTTCCATTTTTTTTTTTTTAAATGCCCATTTAAGACGGATTTCATATCCAAACGCGGCCTCAGGAGAAAGTTGCACAATGCAGATTTGGCGTGTTTCTCTTAAATGTTAGCCATTTGCCTTCTACCATTTGCATCATGTACGGGCAGCTATCAAATAATTGAGTATGGGGCTGCTATTACTATTATTAGTGTTGTTGTTAATTTGCGGCGAGCCCTCAACAATCCAGTCACAATGAGATTCTTGCAATCATTTAACACGCAGCAACTAACGGGGTTGGTTCAAGTGGTAAGCAGTTTAGTACCGCTTAAGCGATGTTTCGAGTTTGAGCCTCAGCGTATGCAGAAATCTCCATTGAGAGATTCATCCACCACAGCCAGGTGTGTAACGTGAGTCGGATCTGGATGTAGTCAGAGCAAAGCTCTGGTAAACTGGATGGGCAACAAAAAAAAACACAGCAAGTAAAAGATAATGCATGTTCTTATATTATTAAACATGCCAAATCTGTCAAATAATGCCCTAACACTCGACTCAGTGACTCAGTGTCGAAGCCATAAACATTTGATACTGACAAGAAAAAAAAAGTGAAAAAACAAGATGCTTCTGGCTTGCTGTAAAAGCAAGCAATGATAACAAAAGCACGATTTTATAAATTTATTTAAATTCATACGAAACATTATTTTCAATTTTTTTTTTAACAAGTGCAATGGATTTGTTGGTTGGCTGCGGGATAGGATCTCTTAAAATAAATCTAAGGCAATTTAAATATATATAAAAAGACATGAATGGGGAACACTTGGAAATAAGAATACAATGTGAGTTCCAAGTGGACTGGCAGAAGTGATATCTATGTTGATCTCTATATCTTTTTAACCTCATTCGATCTAAAGTTGCTTAAGACGTGTGTGTGTGTGTGTGTGTCCAGATTCATGATCAAGTTATTGGCAAACACGTCCAAAACAAAAAGAAAGCAGATGGCTTGACAGTGAGAGTTTTTTGTGGTGGAGTTTATCTTCTTCCTATTCAACATTTAAAAAAAAAACAATTTCTTTCCAGTAATTTTTGTTATTCATATATAACCAATTAGATGTTTGATGCTATCGATAAAAATATAATCTAAAAGTCTTCAAACGAATGGGAGGATGAAAATTTATTTGAAACAATCATAATTTTGTGCATTGAAAATTGAGGACACCGTTGGGTTATTGGACATAACCCAACTAATGGATAATTGTAAGGGATAATGAAGAGACAGGGCGGATAATGAAGTCCGAAAGGGAAAACAACAAAAGAGATGAGGAAATTTCCGGCGACTTGCTGCTTTATCTTTATCTCATTTTATAAAAAAAAACAGTGAGTGGGATTAGCAAAGCGACAGCTACGCAAATTCCATATATATTGCGATGTCCAACCAAGCTTGTGTGCTGGAAAGGCCCCCAACTTGTTCCCCCATGGGGTCATCTCTTGTTTTGGACGTTCTTTTCCCATACATATCCTCCCTTTCTTTCTTTTTGTTTTCCTGCTCACCCAATAAATATCTGTCTTCTATAAAGTTGTTCGCCGGCATGGAATTAATTTCTTGTTTACTTAATTAGATAACTGATTTATGAATATTAAAAAAATTAATTAAATTAGTTATTTATAATAAATGTGTGTTACTTTTCTTAAAATATTTTTATCAATCAATTATGTGCATTAGGATAAAAACTTTCTACTGTGTAATGGGACTACCTTGAAAAATATTCATATATATATAAAAGACAAAACGGACTAGAATCTTATATTTTAGATCAAATCAAATATCAATCAATCATTATATTTAGAACTAGAGGTTGTATTTGTGTATTAGATATCTCCCTTTAAGCTGTAAGAAGTTAGCTGACTAAGATAATTAAAAATAATATGCTTCAAATCACGTTTTGTTTGTGATACAAGATATGGTTTTTGACAAAAGCAACAAGAATATTTTACTTTAATTCTATCAAAATGTGGTTTTTTGACAATGTTCAACGTTTTTTTAGTGGCATGTGAGAAATAAATTATTTTATTCCATGAATAAAAAGAAAGGAAGCAAAAGAGAGACTAATAGTCTCCAGTTTTATGTGAAATATTCAATGTTTAATTTACTGGTGCTAGCCAAAAACAAAAACAAGAACAAAAGGCCTTCCTATCTCCTAAATTAAAATTCTCATTTTGGTTTGACTTAGTTGACCTTATTATTTGTTTAGCGATTGGTTGCAAGGCCTAGGATAAAATCGAATACTATCTATTTTTCGGCTAAGTTTGGTAGAATGATCGATCAAAAGCAATTAAGCAAATTCGATAATCAACACGGGTAATGATTTTACTTGAAAACCCCTAAATAACCCATTTGGAGGGAATAGGGAGTGTCAACTGTCAACTGTCAACAGTCAACCCAAGCTGTAGTCATCTCTCTACTTTCATATTTATTTCCGACACGCTAAAATGTGCGTCCTCCTTTGGGCTCGTGCTAAAGTGCGCCACTCCCTTCAACGAACCTTCGCTATTTAAACCCAACTACCCCCTTCCACCTCTCTCACGCGCACTCTCCAAGAAAACGAAAAACCAAGAAAGTTGCAGAAAACAAAATGGGACTTCTGTGTTGCCACACAGAGGAGCAAGAACAACGATCTCCTGACAATTCCGATCATCTTCATTCCGAATCATCAAATGCTTCTTCCCTTTCTTCTCAGCCAAGTCTACCTTCTGTTCCTTCCCTGACCCCTCCGGCACTGCAATCCCATCAAACTCAGAATTTGTCTCAGTCTCATCACCAACTCATAACCACGCTCACTTCGACGCCTTCCTCTCCCGTTTTCTCCATTACCCTCCATGGCAAGTTCCTTTACACTGGCTCTTTCAACAGCGAGATTCGCGCCTGGAGTCGTGGACCTGGTTTTAGTAGCAACCCACATGGCGACGTCGTGTCAGCCAACAATGGAGCTGTGAAGTCCCTCGTGGTTTCCGGCGACAAGTTGTTCAGCGCTCATCAAGATCATAAAATTCGGGTCTGGAAGATCCAACCTGACGATCCGAACCTGAGGTTCAAACCCGTAGCCACTCTTCCTACCGTCGGCGATCGTTTCTGCAAGCTGTTATCGGCTAAGAACTACGTCCAGGTACGGCGGCATAAGAAGTGCACGTGGGTGCATCACGTGGACACCGTCTCTTCCCTTGCTCTGTCCGAAGACGGGTCTCTGCTTTACTCTGCTTCGTGGGATCGAACGTTCAAAATCTGGAGAACTTCCGACTTCAAGTGTTTAGAATCCGTCCGCGCCCACGAAGACGCGATAAACGCCTTGGTTGTGTCCAGTGATGGGGTTGTTTATACTGGTTCTGCGGACAAGAAGATCAAGATGTGGAAGAAGAAGGAAGGTGAGAAGAATCATTCCTTATTGGGAACTTTAGAGAAGCACAAATCAGCTGTGAACGCACTAGCTTTAAGCACAGATGGATCAGTTTTATATTCTGGTGCGTGCGACAGATCAATTCTGGTGTGGGAAAAGGATGGGAATGATGAAGGGAAGATGGTGTTGGTGGGTGCTCTGAGAGGTCACACGAGGGCTATACTGAGCTTGGTGGCTATGGAGGATTTGGTATGCAGTGGATCAGCTGATAACAGTGTGAGGATATGGAGGAGAGGGCTTGACAAGAGCTATACATGCCTCGCTGTGTTAGAAGGTCATAAAAAGCCTGTGAAGTGCTTGGCTATGGCGGTTGACTCTAACCAATCCAATAATAATAATAATAATGGTGGTTCTGATTCGAGCAGTACCAGTTATCTGGTTTACAGTGGTGGTTTGGATTGTAACATTAAGGTTTGGAAAGTACAAGTTCCCTTGTTCTGAGATTTGACTTCCACTTTTCTTTCTTCGGGAGGGGAAAAAGAAGTTTTTGCTGTGGAGAATTCGTATATAGAGCAAGAGTGTGAAAAATTTAGAAGACATATAGATGATTGAATGCCATATACTTGTACACATTCGAACTGTTCCTTTGTTCCTTATTTTCAGAAGAGTGAGTGATGGAATGCTACAATTTATTCATTCAATTTCTTCTTAGAAGGCTTTTACTTTGAATTGTTTGGATGGTGGTGGTTGGCATGGATAACTAAAAATAAAGGATTCTGGTTAGGTTAGAGTTTTATATGCCATACAATTTTTTATCTTACCAATAAGAGTGTTATGTTAAGGCATTCTTTGTTGACCTTTCGCATTGATTAATAGTATTAATTAAAGTTTTGACGTCAGAGAATATTCTGTGAGTTCTTTCTTCTTGTTGAGTCGTATTTTTGTTTTTAGCTTTTGAGCGGGAGAGAATGGTCATGTGGGTTGAAGCGAAAGCTAAAGACTTACCTAGAAACTTATGACCAACTTTTCCTTCACGTATTCTTGAGGTGTGCGTACGTGAATATTACTGCAGAAATTTCTCAGTAATATGCATATGTTAGGACCACAAATAATGGAATCTTCAAAAATTTCTCAGCTTTCATACGAAATTCTGAATTACCACCTAACATCCAATTTTCTGACCTCTATTTTTGTCTTTGATTCCCCCCCCCCCCACTTGAAGTCCAAATTCCAAACACACAGCAAATTGGCCAGAGACTACTGCAAAATTCCCTTCACACATCGTCGGATTATACTTGTTCATACTTCATGCGGAGGGAACAAAGATGTTTAGAACTGATTAACAAGTTCTATATATTCTGTGGCAAACAATCATATCTTTTAATTATATTTTGTGTATGACTTCCATGAATTTTTATCTTATATCTCAGTGCTTTAATGGCAGTGAGCCCAAACCAGCACAGATTATGATGATGCATCTTACCACATTATAGCTCTAGATCATGAGCTTAACCAAAAAACTGAATCATTAGTTCATTTACCGAGTTTCTTATAGTATTTCTGTTCGTTCTTCGATGTTGGAACCATGCACATGGGGTTAGCCTGTACTCTCTCCTCTCGGTCTTCCTCTTTATCACACTAAACAAGAGACTAGTAATTTATGTCCTTAGAATTCTGGTCAATGAACACACAAATTCACTCACACAATGAGCTTTGCTTTCTATACCGTGGAAGAAGGCTCGTGAAGAACTCTGAAACTGATATGCTAGTAGCTGAGCGTGTTTTAATAATGCCCCTAGATTTCACTCATTGGTTTCTTTAGACGATTTTCATTTGTTTGTCTCTTTTTGTTAATATAGAGAAGTATTTACAGTTTTCTTTCTTATTTTAGAGAAGGCTCGCGAAGAACACTTGACAAGAGCACATCAACAACCAACGCATGATGTGAGCATAACTTTCAATATTTTATCATATATCTGGCAGTACAACATTATGTTAATGCACCTTGGATCAAAAAAACGTTGGTAGTACACCATCTTGCTGATCCTCCTGGAATTAAAGTAACGTTATATCAGGGGCATAAAAGGTTTAAACTTCTTAGTTTATTGCAAACGGAGTTATGAGTTAGGTTAAAAGTACAAATAATTCTCTGCTCTTATATCCCGGATGTCTTTTCTTGTCTAAAGGAAACTAATTTTTAATTAAGGAGGCAGGATATACGTAAAACATAAGATTATATCCTATTCTAAAGGGCGGTTAGGAAAATACATCAAAACATTCTTTGTGGGGTTCATGTTCTAGAAGAAAATCCACTTTCCTGTAACTCGAAGCTTTGTGTGCAGGCCAAGTTTTAGCCACGTCGCAGAATATAATGGTGAAAAAAATGAAAAGTAACTTTCTAGTAATTTCTTGTACATGGTTTAACTCCTGATTAGATTTAAAAAACTGCTAATTGTAATTTGATTGCGATATGACAAACTGCTCTAATCATGAGCTTTGACCTTTAATTCATGTAGTGCAACCAGCGATGTAGGCCGAACAACTGAGAACATTCTTGAAACAGAAGTCTTCTAGTCTATAACTCCTCGTATGCTCGTGCTTCATGAGAATGAGAAAGAATGTGCGCATGAAGAACACAATACAACCAACTCAATTCAGATATAAACTCCTCGGTCGAGAAAGTGTAGTTTATCTGATCCCAAACTCGCCCTGTGCAAGGCATATCAGTGGATCTAGATCTTGCCACAATATAAAATTTAGCATACAACAATAAACATTTGAGAAAGAACCTCAGTTTCTGCTAAACCACGGCTTCGTTGGATAGCAGACTCGAATGTCCAAGAGAAAAATGAAATTCTGCTTACAGTTGGCAATATCCGTAGTAATTTGAAGAGAGCCACATTTGCAAAGTGTTTTGAGGAAGTTTGTTGATGCAGAATGAAACATTTGTTCACAAAAAGCCAAAAAAAAAAAAAAAGCAAAAGAAAACCCGTACTGAGGTAATGATTCATGTTATGGGATCCAATTAAACTTTGATGGGTTTTTATCATTCATTTCACTAGTTGACAGTGCAAAGGAATAGTATATATAAGAATTTCCCTAAGATGAACACGAAATTAGAAGTCCCAAAACATAATGGGGTGTTAGCCTCTTAGGTAGAAGAACGTTATTAAAAAAGAGAATCAAAAGATTTACCAAACACTTGGAAACCAAAATCAACTGTTTTGGAGTTCCAGGTCTGAATCGAAGCAAGCAAATTGGGAAGATGGATCATGGATCTAGCGTCAACAAGAATTGAAACGCCAATAGAATTCCTGGCCACCATTTTCATATCAAGCTTCAAACTCGTTGATCATTCCGCATGAATTATTATGAATGTGCAGTATATCAAAGATTGAACAGAAGCTGTGATCTAGGAAAATGCGCTAGCTTAATTAACCGTTATTCTGTGTATTTTTTGTGCAGATAGCAATTAATCAGAATAAAATTAGCATCGGTTTGAGTAATTTATTTCTAAAGCTTCATATAAATACTTAGAAAAGTTCATCTAATCTTTATAAAAAGTAATATAAGTTTATTGCAAATTGAGACGTCCTTTTTTTTCCAAGAATTTTTCAATATTTAATATTATGGAATAATTTAAGTCCAATAGGGCATTGCATTATGAATTTATGATATATATATTTAATATCTAAAGTCTAATATGGACATTTAAAATGACAGCTGAGGACAGGGGCCGAAAAGGAAACGGAGCCCTTGGGACATTGTGAGAGAGGCAGAGAGCGATCTGTGGTTCGTTTCTTATCAGATACCAAAATCTCAAGGCCCAAAATGCATAGTAAAATGGTGGCCCTATGGAACGAAATTCCACTCACATTAATATTACGTAAAAATTGTAATAAAAAATATTACGTAAAAATTATCAATTCGTTAACATCAATCATCAATTTAATTTTATCAATTATTATCAAGTCATGAATAATTATGACTTATTTTTAGTATGTATATAATGTAGGAAAAACAGACATATAAAATCTTGGTAAGAAATGAAAAAAATTAACTCGTATTATTATATTATGCACTGATTAAATGAAAATAATTCTAACTAATGAGGTTGAATCTAGCAAAAGGCACTAATATCTCTTGATAAATTAAAATTCAGTCAAACGGAAAAAATTTATTTACTGTAAATGAGGTTGAGAGTTTAAACTCTGTAAATTGAAAATATTGTATCAAGAAATCTACTGTCAATTAAGATTGATAATGTTGGAATTTAATTTAATAATACGAAATATCAAATCGTTACATTAAAAAAAATGTCACAAGTAGGTTATCTATATAAGTTGTATATCCAGATCATCTAAACCTTTGTCCTATAGGTTTCACTAAAAAGCTCAAACACAAAGCCAACATATATAATAATGATTTCGTTATTATATTGATGTTGTTCTCATGAAAGAATTGGTTCTTATTTCTTAATTAGTTCATTTACAAAAGAAAGAAAGACAAATTCCTACTCTACTCCTCAAAGGCACTGATAATTGGATGAGAAACGCAAATCTGTATTGGAAAAAAATAAATAACGATCTTAGACAATGACTGAGGAATATATTATTATGCTATAATCAAGATATATTTGAGTAAAGTGTGTCCTTAAGTGTGTATATATTGTATTTGACTCTCCTTTTCAATTAACTTAATTATTAACAAAAGATAATGAAAATGATAGAAAAATAACTACTACCTCTGATCTTTAATGTAAGAACTAGTTGAAGAATTGAATTTAGTTCTAAATATAAAATCTCAATTCACTTTATCTCCATCTTTTCTTAAAGATACCTCTATTGATTATAAGGAGTTCTACTAAGGGTAATTCCAATGAAAATAGTTTAGAAAGATCAACATACATTTGTAATAAATAACTAACTTAACTAATTTTTTAAATATTTTTAAATTAATTATTTAATTCTTATACTAAGGACAAGAGGTAGTAATGTTTTATTTAATTTCTAAAGAGACAATTATTTTGAAATTGGATCAAAACTACATATAAGGCAACAATAACGATGCAGTGGAGGGAATAATTTGAAATGCCAAAACGAATATAAAACGGAAAGCTTTTCTTATCTGTTGCTTCACATTTTCAATTTCACCCAAAGGCTAAAAAGATATTGTTATGCTGAGAAGGAAGAGGAAGTCAACTAAAGCGCGTTGACTATGAAAGCAAATTCGGAGTTTCTTACGTAACCATGTTATGTTAATATTACTAACTTTTACCAACATTCTCGTGCCCCCGCAAGTTCCTCCCCATGTCGTGACGCGGACCCACGCTCCAATGGCAATACTATGCCATTAAAAAAGTTCCATAACTTCACTCGGAAAAAAAAAACAAAAAAAGGTTCCATAACTCGTGCCCGTGTATATATAAAATATATTAACAATTATTGAAAAGTGATCATGTAAACTTGACATACATTGCAGGATCTCACGTTATAAATTTGAATTTCGATTCGGTGAATTTTTTTAACACAATATTTGATATCCACTAATTAATTAATTCAAACATAATGGGATAAGATAGAAATATAGTTTACATTTACATAAATTCAAATTTAAAATCTTATGTTTTTTTTTCCTTATCAGGACTGACCCTTGATATGATTCAATTCGGTGAATTCTAGTAGCACCCTATATATATGATTTCATCCGCTGGATCTTTTGGGGGGGAAAAAAAAAGTGAACCAAAAGTATGCCTTTGATAAACACTAACCAGTGGGAGAGAGTGCATGTTATAAAAATAATGAAATTAAAATTTTAAGACTATCTTCTACATTATCATTATATAAATCTGCAAATTAGGCTT